GTCAATGTTGGTCGCGCTGGCGCTGCCAATCTGGATGTGCTGCAAGTAGTAGAATACGTCAAGCAAGAAGCGAAAATGGTTTATCTGCTAGAGTGTCTGCAGAAAACTCCTCCACCGGTCATAGTTTTTAGTGAAAACAAGAACGAGGTAGACGGTGGGTTGTGACAAGTTCTGTCGTGGTCCAAATCATTGAGCTGTCTGTCTCAGATATACAAGAGTACCTGCTCCTGAAAGGCGTTGAAGCTGTCGCTATTCATGGATCTAAAAGTAAGTGGAAGCCAGGCGTCTAAGGAAGAGGATATCATGACATTGCTCTCTAGCCCAGGAAGAACGTCAATATGCCATTAAATCCTTCAAAAGCGGTGGCAAGGATGTGATGGTGGCATCCGGTGTAGCTTCGAAGGGTCTTGACTTCAATGAAATCCAACATGTCATCATTTTCTCTATGCCCAAGGAGATCGAAGACTATGTACACCAGATCGGACGTACGGGGCGCAGTGGCAAAACCGGTATTGCAACAACATTCGTGAACATGAATACACCGGAGCAAACTCTACTAGATTTGAAATACCTTCTTATGGAGGCTGGGCAAAAGTGAGTTGCATTTTTTTTGGAATTCTGGTCACAATTGATTCATTTGACTCAGGGTTCCGCCGTTCCTTGCTACAGTCGAGGATCCCCGCGCGGCACAAGGTGGATCACTCAAAGGATGCCCTGTATGTGGTGGACTTGGCCATGGGATTAGTAACTGTCCAAAGCTAGAAGAGACACAAAGGAGGCAGATGGCATCTCATCGCCCCCAGGACGATGGCGGTTATTGAGGGTTATGCGCGCTTTAGACAAGCCGCAGACTCATGGGATTCTAGTGATGTCTGTATGCTCGTATGGTGTATTAGTTTGAAGGCTGAAAATCTATCGACTAACTTGCGCTGCTGCCCGCACGTGATGGTTGCTCATTGACGCGGTCCACTCATAATCACCTTGTTTCTGATCAACGAACATGAAAACGACCAATAGTTCTGCTTCCACCTTGAGGGAACCCACAGGCACACCTTCGCACTATTCCAATGACCAGCCGAACCTAAACAACGATGTCCAGGCCGATATCTACTACGGAAAACTGGCATTTAATCATGATATCAGTGTGTATTTTCACAGGTGAACCCGTCCTAGGTTATTGGAAATTCCTTCTCATTTCTACTCAAAGCTTATGCTCAGAAGCGTGTCGGAATCGGCTCAAAATGAAATATGGTATTGCAGACATGGCATTACTTCAAGAGGTTCTGTGAGTATTTCATAAAACACTACGTTCGCCAGCCACGCCGACCAGATATTTTCTCCTACCATGAAGTCGATTGGTAGACGGTCATATAGATGAGATGCAGTCAACGGCATTCATGCCTCAAATTTCTTTGACCCCACGACAGAAGAAGCGAAAGCGCTCAGCCAGGGAAGAGGTTCTACAAGATTCCACTATAGCAAACAGTGGTCTATCATCACCTAGGAGTGCCGACACCAAAAAAGGTGTGTGCTTGATAGTCTTGTATCGCTGGTTAACTGATATGCGTTAGTAGCAAATACAGAATACGGAACAGAAAGGAAAACTGCCCCAAACACTCCCAAACGAAATTTGAGCTTATATCGAACAGACAGATCTCCAATCCGTTCAACGTCTGCTACTCCGTTTGACTTGCTACTCATTAAACACAATGATATGGCAGTCCCTGATTCTCCCCGAACGCCCACGAAAAAGCCCGGTCTCAAAGAGATTGCGTCAAAAGGCAATCTAGGGGTGTTTAGTACATCCAATGTTCTCAGTTCTCAAGAATCCTCGATTAGTACTGTTACTATAATATCTGATGATGAGGAAGACGGAAATATACCTGTTCAGGAGCCCATGAAGGAAATGTCTAATCTACTCAAAGAATTGAACGGTTACCGGCGAAAGGTGTGTATGAAATTAACATGCGTCCAACAATCGATAACATAGTTCTTAGCTTTCCATTACCTCCGGGCGACTTCCAGAAGAAATACTTCCCCTCCGAACTCTAAAGCAACTAAGCACACAACCGCCATCTGGTACGTTTTTAAATTCTGGAGTTACCACCGTCTTCATGTTGTATTCAGATTACAAAGCGTATCAAAGAATCCTAGCTGATACTTCCGGAATCCCAGAATCCGAGATCGAAGAGCGTAAAGCCTATGTATTGGAGAAGTGGACCGAGACCGGGACCAAATTTTTTGCAATCTGCATGCAGTTTAGGATACGGGAGCAAGCTTCCGAGTCCGTGGTGACAGAGAGTACAAGCATTTCGACCACAACTGCAACCTTCAGGAAGATGATCGCGACGCATGGACACACTATAGATAAAACTATTGATTTGAGCCAATACTCATTCTCAGCGTCATAGAATATGTCCGTTCTTCAGTTGTACATATATGGTCTATGTAACATGTACGATGTTACACCTCCTACCAGAGGGTCGAATCGAAAATGAAATATAGTCCGGATTTTTTGACTGAAGAGTTCTATCGGTCTGGCTGGAATATCGGAGGGCATGGGTATTCCGACTTTCGTTGCAGAACAAGAGATGACATGCCTGACATGCAATGTGTTTGCTTCAGATAACGTTGGCAATGCAAGATACTATACATGGTTCTGAGACGTCTGTTGGGTTCATAAGATTTCATTGGGACTGCAGCTAAACTACAGTTACATGAAGTAAGATTAGTTGTGTATGCACGCATCGATCCTAGACGAATGTATAGATTTTTCAGCAAGTATCACGACGCCGTTGAAAGCAAGTTAAAAATACAAGTCGATTCTCTTTGTTGGGAAAGAGAAGGGGCTCTCTGCGTTGAATACAGAGTGATCCGCACTCGAAATAGGGGGTGCGTCGACAGTTGATGTTGATAGTACAGATGTGAGAAAGACAGCCGAAGTAAGCAAAAAAAAAGAAATCGCAGTCGAAAAGTCTAGTCTCTACGCGACGTCCCACAGATCCTCTAAAGCGCAGCAAAACTTTTGAGGTAAAGGGTAAGTATAAAGCACGTAATACAGTCGGGGTACATACCTTGCCGCACGCTACGCTGGCACTTAATGCGTATTGACTCACACCGATTTTCTCATCAACATAGGCGTCGGCAAAATCGTCCTTGCCGCGAGCCATAGCGCCTACGAATACAGCCAGATTCTTGGCCGGCTTACGATCAGAGCCTTGAGGGAGCGGGTTAGCAAAAACAGATAGTACTAGTTGATGGAACGCACCTGTGGGTGGATCAAATAGGGTAGGAAGGTATGTAGAGAGTTTTTGAAGGGGAGCATCACCGGAGAGAGCTGTAGATGTAGGTAAGCGGATAGCGAGACGATGAGCTTGTGAGTACGAACTGATTTTGTAAGTATCAGGAGGGAAATGGTCTACAACAGGATTCTGTAGATTCAGTCATGATGAGCATTTCGGTTCGGAGGTCTGTATAGATTGACTTACTTTGACTACTTTTAATAGCTTTTCAGAACCTTGAACGCCTCTGATGGATAATTTATGCAAAAGTTGGACTATTTCGAATTGGTATGGCTACCGGCGAAGATTATACGGATCAACTCACCCATCAGGCCACTGAACCGTTTGAACGTCCTTGGAATCCTCACATGAGGGTTAACTTCAATGAGAACACCCTTGGCAGTATGGATGTATACTTGAAGTAGACCAGACTTGTTCAGCGGGGAATCAAGAAGAGTGAGGAGACACTGTGATACAATGGATCAGGGAACTAGTAAAGTGAAGAGGGAGAAACGAACTTGATGAGTTATATCAGGCCTAGCATCAGCGATATCTCGACCGGTTTTGGCCAATATGCCTTGATGATCATCGCAGTTCAAAAGAGTGTATTTGACTTCGCCCTCCTTGAATTTTTTTCCGTTGGATTTTGAGCTTGGTGAGATACGGTATGCTTCGAGGCAAGCTTGCTCAAGAACGACAAAAAGGCGTCTAGGTGCTGATGAGGAGGCGATGCCTGCACCATTGACAGCAGGGCCTCGAGGAACATGGGCTGTCGCAGGAAGGAGGTGAGGATTGGAAAGATTAGGAAGATTAGGATTAACGGTGATATTGAAAGCCTGAGCTCGAGGATTGAGTGATTTGGTAGGAAGCGGTTTGGTGGGCCGGTCCATCGTGGTCGATGTCAAAAGAGTGTTTTGGTTGATATTTAAATTTTCTTCTTCTTCCTCAACCTCAACTGTCATTTCTACATCCTCATATTCCTCAGTTTCGCTCCCACTTGGACTTCTCTGTCTTCTTCTGAGTGCAGGCCTCTCTCCAGGGGTTGATTTTGGCCTTGGAGGCGGGTCGATCCTGCTGTTTCCGTTTTCCTTACGAGCAGACTGTAAGGCAGAACGCAAGTCATCTGAATCGCTCGTAGTGCCCGAGTGTCGACGACGACGAGGAACAGTAGGGATCGGGGATGATAACTGGGCCATTTTGGTAGGTAAAGAAAGTGAATGGAGGTGGTAATAAGGACTTGAGAATTGAATTACACGTCTTTTTACACAAATATACAATTGATTTTACACCGAAACCTTGTTTTTTTTTCTTTCCTGATTTCCGTTCGCAAGCTTTTTTTTTTAGTTCACACCGTCAATGAAGAATTGGTGACAGTCGGTCGGAAGCACGATTTATTATTCCATATGCGGAAGAGCGAATGTTTTCAACGCCATCGACGCTAGTTATGCAGCACTAAGTACCTCCTTGAGCTAGCTAGCACTGTGACTCCTTCTGACTCTGACTCTGGCTTAGTTTTCATTCCATCTATCCATCTCACGATCGCTGACATCGGCCAAAATTCGCCCCGTGCTATCTGAAAAGAAGTTCTTCTCCTACTCATCCTCTGAGAACATTCCTCCAGTGTTGCGATACTTATTTCAACTGCAACTGCACCTTTCCAGCAGCATTTTCCCGATTGGCAGCGGGGCCGGGGCCAACACAAAGCCATGGAACTCGTTCGCCCGCCTAGCTCAATCGGATAGAGCGTCAGACTTTTACGAGCGGGTAATCTGAAGGCTGCGAGTTCGACCCTCGCGGTGGGCTATGCATACGCTTTTTTTCATTAGGGCCTTTCTTCCAGATTTTGCACTTGATACATAGATAAGTGCCCTGACGGATTTCCAACACAAGTACTGTTCCAAAAATTGTCATGGTGTATTCTCGGGACAGATATAATGTACACATCTCGTGGCATGCCCGCTCTCACAATACCTCGAATATTCATTGGTCAGAGTCATTAGACTGTCCCTGCATACGACCATCGGCTGCTTTGAAGTTACACTGACTCGAAATAAAACCTGATATAACTCCACAATGACTGCCGTTTTTTTTCGATTCAAATGTCCCGGTCCGAAATATCTTCGACCCTGCCGACCTGACTTTGCAACCTTCAAGCAAGTACATAAAAGAAACATGATAAGCGGGAAATAAATACCCACAAAACTCAAGTACTTTGACCCTCGAAGAGTCGAAAGAGGTTTCGGAACTCATGTTGATCGGCCTTTTAAAAGCCCTCAAATCATTCAATGCTCGACATAATCATGATTAAAGCTTCCGTCACTTCCGTGCTCGTCTCTCCACTAGTGAGTAATAACTCCTTTGAGAACTAAGTAGATCTTCAACCTTTTTTAGCCACAAGGTCTCGGTGCGCCGCTTTTTTTTTTCTTGAGTCCATTCATCATCTCCTCTCTTTGAATTACACAATGAGCGACATCAAACTCTCTGTCGGTGCTCTTGTGAGCATGATATTTCATACGGGGAAGGAAATGATATACTCATCGACCCTTGTGGTACAGGTTGTAAGTGGATGGATGTCGTTCATGAGTTTTGGTTTAGTTCTCGCTTTTGGTGAGTCCCAGCTTGATGAATGTGTCGACGATGTCTCATCTCAGTCCTAGGATGGCAATACTTCCTGCAATTTTACGATGACAAAGTGCTCTATAAAACGATTGTGACGACTTGCTTGCTCTTATGTTTCGGAGACACCATTGTTTCAGGTATGCGCCCTTCACAACTCTTCACGCTCGTCTTATCCTCCGAAATATCTAGGGTTGTGGTGTTATCGGTGGTCGTCTACGTATTTTGGTAGTATGTACCATCATCTCTCGCGCGACTCCCTTCATTATCTGACACTCCTCTATCACAGACGCGTCGGCTTTGCTCGCGACTCCTCAGTAAGAATTACGCTCCGTCAAAATATCGAATATTCACACTGTTCTTGCGTAGGGAGGCCATTGCCACATTGTGGTTCTTGTAAGTCCAAAGGTCAAATATGTTCTTGGCTCTGTCTTGATTTTTCTCGTAGCCCCACAACAACGTTCATTGTACAACTCTGGTTTGCGGCCAGGATATGGATGATTTCGATGAGAAAGAATTTGATACTCCCAGCGCTGATAGCGATCCTGTCTTCTGGTTCTTGGGGTAAATTTCTCTGAACGTGCGTGTAGTGACTTTTTCTAAACTGATTTCCATACGCCATCTAGCAATCGCCGTATGGATGTTTTCCAAGCTTGTCAAACATCACTCAACGCTGGCGGATGATGCAAATCTTGTCTTGTGCGCGAATTCCTACGTTGGTTTTCTCTTTGAGTTGTCATTGACCTTGTTTAGCCCTGTTGGTTATGCGTGGCTCGGAGGTGACATGTAAGCTGGGGTTCGCTCATGGTAAAACACCGAAACTGAATTCATATCCTCAGCGCTGCAGATATGTGTATTTTTGGCGGTCTCGCTTACTACACCGAACTTCGATCCCGAAAGCAACGAAGGCACCATCTCCTGTCACCAACGTAAGCTCTATTTCTGCGCTGGACGCCGCTTTTTTACCATATACTTTACTTTACAGGAGCTTGTGGGCCGTGACTTGTCGAATGATTGAATGCAACGTTCTGCCGCTCATTTCTCAGCTCGTTTTGATCATTCTTTTCAAAACAAATGTCGGATTATACTATAGTGTGTTTGTTTGTTGCGCTCTCATTCACAAAGAACTCACACGTCTGCATTATTGTGACAGTACTTTCTGATATGACCATTGCAAAAGTTGGTCGATGCGTGCAAATTCTTCATGGCTCAATCTGATCAATCATCACTTGCTTATAGATCTATACCTTCTCTTTACTCATATCTTGTGCGCAAGAACAAATCCCTGCTTTATGATTTGTTTCTCATTAAAGTTCACAGTGCACACTCGGACACCCATTGTAGAAGCTATATCCCATGCTGCTATCAGTAACTCGGATCCCATCACCTTCACTCGATCGACAATAAATGCTACGGCAGTGCAAGTTCGGTGTGTTCTCAGCATTATCTACAGGCTGGAGACCCAATCTTACAATGAAGATTTCGCAGACAAGACGTACATGTAGTTCATGACAGTGAGGCTAGTCCCATCTCGCCATACGACAAGATGGAGATAGAACACGAGTATGAGGTCCGCAAAGGCTCTCTTGCGGACGAGTATCACGATAGTTCCCGTCATCATATCGGAGCTGGGGAAGTGTAGATAGCGAATCCTTCCATTCTTTACCTGTTTTTTTCCAGCTGCTATGGATTCTGTTGTAGCAAAAAATTAGATACCCTGGAGACATTAAGAAAGAAATGGATGCTGTTGTTGTCTGTAAAATGAATGAATAAGCTCTTCATTCAGTTTGCTAGAATAAAATTAAATGAAGCCCACGCCCGATGAGTAAAACAAAAAAAATGAATTCCTTCTAGCCGACTTGAACGACTGACCTCGTCATTACTAGTGACGCGCTCTACCAACTGAGCTAAGAAGGACTGATGTTTAGCATATTCTCCACATATACAATCCGCCTTATTATATGTACATATATGCAAAATGGGCGCTTGATTGTACCTTGAACTTTTACTTTTTTCTGTTGGACTAAATGGGAGGTCGTTCAGTCCTACTTACTTCGAACTTGCCACAGCTGCAAAACCTCATTAAACGAGATCCTGCTTCCTACAAGGATGAGTTTCTCCAGCAATGGAACCATTACAACAGCATACGACTCATCTTTCATTTAAATCCGGACGAACATGCTCAGCATTTCCGAGAGCTAGTTGCGTTCATTGCCCAAGTTGCCACTTGTTACCCAAAAGAAACCGCAAAATTTCCTTCTCAAATCTCCACGATCCTGCTGGAAAGCTATGGCCTTCTTTCCCCTGATACAAGGAAAGCATTGATTTCGACCATGGTATTATTGAGGAATAAAAATGTCATAACGTCCATCGAGTAAGTCACACTTCATGCCCACTTGCTCCATGTAAGATCTCATTTGAATTTTTGCAAGGCTTCTTCGAACCCTTTTCCCTCTCCTCCCTCGTACCACTTCGTCCTCCCTGCGTAGCAACATCCGCAAAACGATACTTTCCGATATTCGAACTGCCAACATCCGAACAAAAAATCATAAACTGAATCGTGCGATTCAGGCCATGCTTTTTGGTATGGTTGAAAACGGTCTTGAAGATGTTTCGAACTTTGGTAACAAGGGGAAGCAGAAAGAAGTCGGCACTGGAACACATTTTGGATCGTCAGATAAAACTGCGGGAAGGGGAGAAGATGCAATGTGGGCTGTGATTCTGACCAAAGAACTTTGGCGTAAGGGTATTTGGTGAGCAGTCTATATTCTCGATGGGAAGATCAATTGGCCCATTTGTAACGGTGACAGGGACGATGTAAAACCAGTCTCGATCGTTGCTATTGGGTGTTTGCATCCAGTGCTCAAAGTTCAAAGTGCATCAATACATTTTTTCCTCGGAGACGACGATGAGAAGGAAGATAGCGATCAAGAGGACGAAGAGGTATGTAAAACCACCACCTATATTACTTCTTACATATGCTTTCTATCAGGAAACAGACGTGCGTGCACTTCACCACCGTCGTGAGATCAACAAAAAGTCTCGTAGCGGTGACAAAAAGCTACAGAAGAAGCTCAATGCCGCGAAAAAGAAAAAGCATGGAAAATCTGAGATATCCCGTTCCAACACGAATTTTCCAGCTTTACAGCTGTTGAACGATCCTCAGACGTTCGCCGAAAAGCTTTTTACTATTCTGGACCGTTACGACAAGCGATTTACGCTTGACCACAAGATATTAATCATGCAACTCCTTGCTCGTGTTATATCTGCGCATACGCTCTTCGTCATGCCCTTCTACTCCTACGTTCAAAAGTGGCTTGCCCCAAAACAACTAAGGGTCCCGTCGATACTAGTTGCGCTAGCCCAATCGGTACATGCGCTCATACCACCCCAGACGTTAAAACCAGTTGTCCTCAAGCTTGCGAATGAATTCGTGCATCCAGGAGTCGGGAGCGAAGTTGTAGCTGCTGGAATAAATGCGGTTACCGAGATCTGTAGGCGTCAGCCTTTGGTTATGGGACCTAGAGACAACGACGACGATGATCTGATGAAAAGGCAGAAAGAACGGAAACAAAAAAATGCAGAGACAGACGATGGGGCCCAAAACCAGGCTCTCGACGCCATGAACGCCGTCCATCCGGAGAAGGGGAAGGCGGAAAGCAATGGGCTGGGAGAGGTCGAAGTTGACGGGAAGAGATTTGGTGACAAGGATGTCGATTTAAGGCCTCTGTTGAACGATCTGATCGACTATAGGAAGAGCAAGGATAAGACCGTTATTGCGGCTTCTCGAGGGCTATTGCATCTTTATCGGGAGACTCACCCTGAGTTCTTGAAAAAGAGAGAGCGGGTTTGTCTCATCCACGCTTAAGTGATATACATCCTCATCTTTCTCTTCACATAGGGCAAGGAAGCTAGTCTCAACATGAAAAATGCAGTCGCTCGAAATCTCTCATTTGGTCATTCAGCCAGTGCTGCTGCTGACATTGAGGGCCTCTCGGTATGTGCATATGTTTATCAATTGTCTCACGCCCCCTCAACCTCTTTGCTTCTTGTAGCTTCTGGAGAGTCACTTCAAACAGCTTCGTGAAGAGGAAGAAGAGACTAGTGCCGAATCAGGAGAGGATGACGACGAGGCCGGTTGGGAAGGTTGGGATGCAGAATCCGATTCGGACTCGGGCTCGGACTCTGAGGATGGGTGGCAAGATGTTTCGAGCGACAGCGATGGCGACATCGAACTCAGCGATAGCGAAGTCGAAAACGGTGAGAACGAGGACAACGATAAACGGAAAAGGAAAGAAACGGAACGGCAAGAGAGGCGGAGAGACAAGAAGGCAAAGAAGGAGAAACAAAGAGCAAAGGAGGAAGCCCTCAAGAACGGGCAAGAGCTTATTGAAGAGGCAGACAACAGCGAAGTGGACGAGCACGAATACGAAGTCAGTGAGGATGGCGAAGAAAAGATGAGCGTGGATGAAGAAGAGAAGGAGGAGCAGGAAAGAAAGTTCGGGCAAGATACATCAACTCTTGCTACAACCAAGGTCTGTCGGCCTGGAAATCGTAAAATTCGATTTATTAATAGTGTACTTGTTCAGATACTCACACCAGCCGATTTCAAACTGCTTTCTGAGCTTCGCATTCAAGCCGCGCAGAAGTCTATTGAAGCAGGGGGTGGCAATCGCGCCAAACGAAAACTTGCGGCGCTCGAGGCCGAACGTAAGACTCAAAACCCTGCAGACGACCTGTCAGCTTCCTTCATATCGGAGAACGATATTCTTGGGCCTCGTAAGAAAGCTAAAGCTGACTATGCTGAGCGCATGGCTTCGATTCAAAAAGGAAGGGAAGGTCGCGAGAAGTTTGGGTCTCGCAAAGGCAAGAAGACCAAGGACGCTCCCAGCAGCTCTACGAATAAGGAAAAGGCCAGGAATAAGCCAATCATGATGATTTTGAGTAGTGGATCTGTGCGAGGAAAGAAGAAGGCAAGTTTGAGGGAGAAGCAGCAAAAACTTAGGGCACACATTGACAAGGGAAAGAAAGCGAGGAAATAGATCTTAGCTAGAGCTTCTGTTAATTGAAGGCGCAGCTGTCTATTAAATGTAGAATACATCAATGTTATCTCTATGTAAGCCCGCCTAGCTCAATCGGATAGAGCGTCAGACTTTTACGAGCTGTCAGGCGGTTTAAAAAATCTGAAGGCTGCGAGTTCGACCCTCGCGGTGGGCTATGGAATGGTACTTTTTTTCCTTTTTGAAGATCAGCATGTTATTTTGTTCTCTTTTCCTTTGTGCTTTTTTCTTCAAGCAATACAAGATACATTGATTCCAGCCTTCATATGCACAGAATACTGCAAGTTGTGGCATCTAGTAATAGCATAAATTATTAAAACCATTTGGCAGGTTGTAAACCAATTTTCTTTAGTATGTCCTTCACATTGGTAGAGACGAATGCTCCCAGTGCGGTTGACCCTTGTAATTTGACCGGGGTCCCAACGAACTGGTACCTAGAGGTGTTGACGGAATGAACAAGTTACTTCTCTTAGAAAGATTTACACTTACTGATAACTAGGTTTTCCGTCAATCACTACTTCCAATTTAAGTGTTGGAAGTTGTGGATTCCGAGTATCGATTTCTATCGATGACCATTTGTAATTTCCTTCAGGTATGTACTTGATTACCCGCTCTCTAGGTATCTCTTCGGTAACAGTTTCTATCTCCGGCTGGTCAACCAGCTCTGAATGTGGAGGTAGTTCGTCCGACTGAGGGACGGCTTCTTCTTCAGGACTAGGGACTGGCGTTGCCTCAGGAGTGGGGACGTCAGCGACTACAGAAGGAGCTTCTTCCACGATTGGCTGGGTTTGTGTTCGTGTGAAGGTTTCGATACTTTGCATCCTGAGTGTATGGTAAATCGGAATGTAGAACATGCTCAATGGGCTGGAATCAACACCGTCTATAAGCATTCCGAATTACATCTTGACAAAGAGACAGACCTTGTGGAAAATTCAGTGACCGTAAAGCCGGATTCGGCTGGGGCGGCAAATTCAATGGTGGCGAATTCATGTCGGTCCCCAGTAATTACAAACACGTTAGGAACGCTGTGCATGGCATTTAAGAGGGTCTGCTTCTCGTTCACAAATCCCGCCCACGAGTCGTATTGCGCGTCATGACCCCAAAGAGACGTGAATGGAACGGAAGACACAATAAATTTGAATGTTGCAGTGCTGTTTGCCTGTAATAGAGTGAGGCATTGTGGTGCGAGGAAGTCACAAAACACAGACCTTGCCTAGCCAGTCAAGCAATCTGATCAGTTGATCTTCACCTAGCATTGTCTTTTCTTCGGAGGATTCGGTTGGGAATGAACGATATCTTCTGGTGTCCATCACAAAGAACGCTACATCCCCATAGCGAAAATCATAATAGTATGGAACATGACTGAGCGATTTGGTTGATGGAGGGGGTGAGGGATTCCCGTTAGCATTATAGATTTGGAAAGCATCGGAAGCGCTGGGGTATGGCTGTGTCGAGTCGTTACTGGCGCCAGAGAAGTTATTGATGATTTCATGATCGTCATAGGTATGGAACATGGCTGGAACGATATTGAGGACGTTAGATACCTTTTGAGCAGTCGAATGAACGTACGAAGCTTCTCATAAATTTTCCTAAAGCTAGAGCTCTGGTAGTTTCTTCTATACAACCTGCGGTAGCTTTCTTTAGTGTTTCCAAAATACAATGGAACATCGGCGTAGATGAAATCGCCCAGGAAAAGCAAGAAAGAGGCCGGAAGGGAGGTCGATACATCTTGATTATTTGAACTGAAAGCCTCGGTGTCGTTGGAGCTCTCGGCCGTACCCATGACGCTATCTGACGATGAAGGAAAAAGGTATTCCGCAAGAAGGTCGAAACCCCTGATTCGGCGTCGTTGGAGTGGTGCGTAAGGGAAATTGGGGAGAATACAGGATGATGCCAGGAAACGGAAATGCGTGCCACCTGGGAGATGAGGATCAGGGAAGGTACGGAATTGTAGAGGTGAATCCGAGTAAGCAAGCAAAGATGAATTGGCTCCAGCGAGTGCATCTGAGGTAAAAATGAGGTCAACAATCAGGAAAGCAGAACAGATGAAGTGTCATACATTCGTAATTGGTGCTGGGCCAGAGACCTGAAAGTGTAACAGTGTCCACCCAATCATTTTCCTCGGACAAATTAAGAGTAGCACCCTTGTTCCAAGCTGCGTTCGGCTTCGACTCTCTCCATACAACTTGAATCGTTTCGTTGAGATTAGGATACCTAATTAGTATTTTGGCACTGCTATCTGATACTGCGCCAATTCTAGAGAATATAACGTCGCTCGCATGATCAAAATAGGGTGAAGCGCAAAAGTCAACGAAGGCAAGCAGTAATATGGAGTTTATGGCAATATTGGTCCATCGGATGAATCGAGAAGGGGTCCTAAGAGAGAAAATTACTGCTGCTAGAGGATTGAAATTGCTCCGAGCTGGTTTTGTTGTAAAGCTGGTGGAGAGCAGATATAGGGAGAGCAAAGCCGGAATAGCAGATTGTAATATTGGAGAGGGTATCTGAACATGGAATGGAAGCGAAATCAACGGCTGAGATTCAACGCGCACTCACCACTCGCAGGAAGAAAAATGAAGCGAGCCTAAAGGCAGTAGCAAATACTGACGAGATGAGCGTCATTTACAAAGGGTGGCGCGGGGTAACACACGGGACGCGTCTGCCAATCTTCGAAAAACATATACAAAGGTGCACATATATCGTAGTCATAAGAGTACATACATAAATCCTCCAAAAAACCTAGCAGTCAATTATATATATCATAAATTCAGCATAGATTTCATAACATCGATATCATAGATAGAAAGGTATCCCGTACACAACTGGGGCTGCCCCGGTAAGATACTTGAGCTTGCACGATTTCCTAGATTCCGCAACAGCTTGAACTACCGACACAGGAGTATGGCGTTCCAGCGAAGATCGATGCTTGATTGACTCAAAAGACATGTCCAGTTTGTCGAACACTGACTGGGAGAAAGTATCGATGTCTTTGTCCGTGACATCCCACAAAGTAGCAACCAAGGTAGGACTGACCAGAGTGAGAATCAGTGGAAAGAAATGAAAGAGCAGTATGAATAAAAAAAACGGACCATCCCGCTAACATATAATTCAACGGCGTGCCCACTCGATCAAAGTCGCCCATATCTCGGAGTGCACCAGAGGAACAACCCCAAAGCATGACAGCAGCACATTTCGGCAAACTTCTCAGTTTGTGAGAGCGCACGTATTGTTCAGCTCCTCCATGCCCAAAGTATCTTAAGAGATGAATCAGCTCTTATTCGTATGCTGAGCCAGATGGAAAACTCACACCACGAGGTCTTTTGTTCGAAGCGCATGGAGAACTTGAAGCTCGCTCGGAGCACGCCCCGAGATGCCCTGCCAACCGATCCTCTCCATATTCTTCAGCCAAGGCTTGAATCGCTCCTCTGTTCGTTCCAAGTCCCCACCGGGATTGATTATATAGTACGCATTTCTAGGATCACAGACTGCACGATCAACAGCGGTTGATGACTGACTTTGGTCAGTACATTTCGATTGTTGAAGGCGAGAAAATTGGACACGATCCAAGAGGAATGAAATGCTAGGAATGCGACTGACGCTTCTTTCTCGTAAGATCGGGATGTTTTCCCAAGGTAAACCTTGAACATTCTTGTCCAGGACCAAGAACAGATGCTCGTCATTGTGAATTCGTTCATTGTAGCCAAATGCTCCAGAACGGCCATGTCCAACACTTTTCAACTTTTCGGCATGTTCTTGTATCACGGTTCGCAAATCGACGACAACTTGATCAATGTCAATCTCTGCAATAGCGACCGGTACGCCATGAAATTGATACAGGTCGAGGATGAAATAAACCAAGTCCTCCAGTTCCTCATCTCGACAATCTGGGGATAGAGTCGAAAAACATTCAATCAAGGCATCGTCGAGGGTAACTCGGTTGGGCGTCAAACTTTCGGAAGGCATCTGCTTGCGACCTAGCGCTCGCTCCTTGGTCTTCTTATCTTGTAATCTAAGACCACGCTGAAAGACCCGGTCAAACTGTAAACGAAGGTTGCTGATCGCCTGAGATGATAGATGCGGATTTCCTGATAGAATGGTCTTGATAAAGAATATATGAGGCCCCTAATCAATCAGAATACATGCTCAGAAATACCTTGAATGCTCCAAGCCAACAAAACTCAATATTTTCCAGCAGCTCGCGAAGACGAGTGTCAAGTGCCCCTCGTTCTTTCCACCACTTAGACCTAGCGGCTGGATCGTGCCGAATAGACGCAGCGATCTTTGTAGTTTCATTGCTGAGGGAGACGATTTCATTCATTTCGGTAAGCGCATCTTCGAAGGTGAGGTGTTCGTCAGTTGCGTCTTCTCTTCTGCCTTTCAATGGAACACAGAAGACAAGAGGTCCACCCTGGCTTCCACCACGTTGACGAGAAACAAACATCGTGTTCTTGTCCTCAGTCACAGAAATGTGAACGACAGTCCAATTTTTTGGGAGTTCGGAAACCATGGAGGAAGTGAAGGTCTCGGCATTTATGGAACACAATTGATACCTTTGTCTGACCGTTTCCCAATAGTTCTTAAGCGAAACATCGTCCATACCATCGGAATCAGAGTCATCTGAAGCAACGTTTGCCTTGTCAAGGTGAGGCAGTGGTGCACCGAAATCAGAGAGCTTGGGCCATCTTAAATCATCATGAAGAGTGATTGGGGGAAATTTGTTTGAGATGGCTTCCAGCATCTCACTGCGCAAAGTAAGTGACGCTGAGGCATCTACAGAGGATGAGCAGCTTGAATGAATGTTCACGATTCTTGACTTACCTAGAAGACCAGCAGTGAGCAATGGAGTCTTCGGATCGAATCTTCCCAATGAAGCCTGGAAGGTTTTGATTATCGCAATGGACATGGAGGACTCTCGAATATATGGCACAAAACCCTTTTGGCCCAATGCACTAAGGTAAGACCAGAACAATTTCTCAGTGTGCTCTAAATCTTTGGCAATGTCCACCATAGTAGGAGTTACGGAGATGCTGAGATTACTGGAGCTCGTCGAAAGTGCAATGGCTAAAACAAATTGAGGCCATCTAATGACTGCATGAAGATAGAAATGTTACACACTGGTTTCTCCAATCGAACTTAGCAAAATGTCGCTTCGACTGC